ATCTCCTGCCGAAAAGCAAGAATTTCACGAGTGAAGCCCGACGTTCTCCGTCGAGGTGCGCCAGATTGTTACTTGACGCAAGCTCAAGTGGATGCCATTCATAAATGGGTCAACAGCCATCCGAACGTGGATGCCTCCTTTGGCGGAGCACGCTCTTTCGGTGCTTGAGGAGTTCTGACTCCGGAGCGGAACTCTGGCACGACTTCGAGGAGGAGGGCTCCGACCACGAGGGAGGCGGCCCAACTCCTGCCCCTTGTCCGGCGGGTTGGAGCCTGCAGGCCACCGCACATGAGAACCCCTTCACCCGCATTGGAGTGCCCTGCGCTAGAGATTTGCATCCGCCACCTCGGTGGGAACCGTGAAGCCCCACGTTTCCATTTCCGAGTTTTGAGCTGCAGGTCACCGCACATGAGAACCCCTCAACCTCATTGGAGCGCTCTGCGCTAGAGATTTGCATCCGCCACCTCGGTGGGCATCGCGAAGCCCCACGTTTCCATTTCCCAGTTGAGCTGCAGGTCACGGCACATGAGAACCCCTCACCCGCATTGCGCATTGGAGCGCTCTGCGCTGGAGATTTGCATCCGCCACCTCGGTGGGAACCGTGAAGATGGGGCACACCTCGAGCCCGGCAAGATTGTTGTTGCCATGAAAGCGGGTGAGGTGGTCGTTGGGTGGGGGCACATACAAGCATGCCCCTATAGGCTCATGGAGTATGGGTGTGCGTTTTCGGCTGCCGCGAGCGCCAAGGTGCAACAGGTCGGTCTAACCCGGTGCACACGATTCTCGATTCTCTAGCAACCCCACAAGATACTGCCCTTGACCCTACTACACCTCCCTAGACCCTTAGACCTAAAACCCCTCATTTCGGCAGAAGGTCCTTAAATGTGAAACAAAACACGAAGCCCGAGTAGGCTTCAACCGGGTATTCACGATTCCTGATCATAGTACTAGTAGCCATAAAGTTGGAATGCTGTAATCCCTTCATGCCCTGCAGTTAACGTATAACGGCTCCTAGCACTAATCATCCTAAACCCATGTTCCAATTTTCTGGCATTCGCTGTAAGGTCGTGGATCGAAAGCCGCCGCATGGATTTGGGATTACGGCTTGAGTTTTTTGGTTTTTGTGCCCAGGCTCGTCATTTGCTGCGCCCCCGTGTGGTGATGGCCGCGATCCTAGAGCGTCAGCTTTTTCCGGGCGCAGCGTTGCCAGTGTGTAAACGGCATTTAATTGACCTACAACACTATACCCAGAATGCTCCACCCCGACCCTCAAGCTCAGCATTCGCCTCCAAACCTGGCAGCCACAGCAGCACTGAATCACGCAATATAGAGAGGGATTAACAACTAGTGTGAACATCACCTAGTAGTCCCGTTTTCGTGATGCTAGAATACACCGCAACACGCAACTCCACTTCTTCATGCCCCTACCTCGTGAGAAACGACAGCTTCTGCGGCAGCATCAAGCGATCCTTGTGGTGGGGAGTTCAAGTTGGACGTTGCTGTACAATCAAAGCTCGGATCCTTCTTAGCACGTAAGCTTCAGATTAAGGGGCCCCTCGCACGCCCGAAGAAACTTTAAGCCGACTTCCGCTACTCAGTTTTCCAATACATCTAACGTTTACGCTTGTTTAGGGGATCATATATATATATATATATATTTATTTATTTATTTATATATATATATATTTATTTATATATATATATATTAATATATATATATATATATGTATATATATATATATATATATATATATATATATTTATATGTATATATATATATAGGCTCAGTAGTAGCCTGAAAGTTTACCATGCTTGCTTCTCTGTGGCTTTATTCGGGTTGTAAATCTAGAATCCAGCATCCCAGACACATGCTTTCAAAACCCAGAAAATTTTACGGGACGCCAGAATTAAGCGAGGAAACACCCCTCCAAAAGACAGAATCTCCAAATCCCACCAACAGCTCATATCACGAAGGCCGGGTCCGGCCTGGGAGCAGCCGGGTGCTGAGCAAAATCTGTTGTTGTTGAATGTGGTTGTTCTGGGTTTCTTTGGGCGCTGATTGGTTGTTGTATAGGGCTTTCATGCTGTTGAGACTTACTTTGAGGTTTTGGTGCCTCAGGGGATAGTAGGGTGCTGCAAGGTGTCGGAATCCATTCTAGGGTTTATGTTTATGAACTTAGTCTTTTCGGTTTTCGGTTTAAGAGTATGGGGCTCAGCGAAGAAGCAGATATATCAAACCTCGCAGCAACCGTGTAGGTCCATCATCCATCCTTTTGACAGCTCCCTGTTTGCGGATGGATGGGACCATGCCATGCCAGTGAGCTGCTAGCTTTAACAAGCTCCTCCACAATATGTTGGATCCAGTTTTCAGATGGCCAAAAACTTTGTCAGAGGTTGCAGCGCGCATGTACGCTGTACAGGGAAGATCCTATGATTACGACCCCTTGGTTTTAAAAATGGTTCATGGCTTTTCTGACTTTCTACGTTTGGTACAAGGTCGCGGCGGGGACAACGTTTCAACTACCAGCACCGTGGCAGGCCGACATGTTGCTGTGTCCGTGTGTGTATGTGTGTCTACATTCACCAAGATACATCTTCGGCCAGGTCTTACGAAAACCTGGATCGCTGAACACTGAATGTCCCAGCCCCCAACAAGCACAATGCTTTGTTCAGGTAATTCGGTGTGATTGGATTTGCCTTAATCCCGAAACCTCAATACTAAACCCGCCAAGAACGGAACTAACGGAGCGCCGCAAGCTTGAGTTACAGTGCGTTTTCCCGGTACTACAGCCTATAACTATATATTCCCACTTGTTCTTACTAGTGCTGCCTGGGTTTCTTGTTGTACACACGGCTTCACGGTCTGAGGCCGTGGAGTTTAAGGGTTCGACACTCTAAACTTTATTACATGTGGCTTACAACTTGAAGGCCCGTCCATCGGCGGCCTTGTAAGTAACTCCTTCCGCCGCAAGCCTCACAAACCCTCAACCTCAAACCTCTCAAGCCCCTGACCAACCTCCAGCCCTAAACCTCGTAAACCCTACACCCTCAAGCAGGAGGCTTCAGTCTTGGCCCGCATACTCGAAGCCACTGGCTTGCAGTCTTGATGCTTCCAGCCGCACAGCTGGCCTGACGTGCTCATCCCGGTCTGCATATTTGGATGGTTTAGGGTGCGGGATTTAGGGTGTTCGGGGTTTAGGGCATAGGGATAGTAGTGGCGTGGCATGGGTTGTTTTCGGTTTACACAGCGCTTTAAGCATAAACCGTACGCAGTAGTATTTTCTAAACGGATCCGAGACTCTCGGCGTAGCCTCAGTGTTAGCCTTAACAGCACCCCTCACTTAGTCCGACAGTGCTAATTTAGAAGTAGTGAGACTGAGCCCCGAAAATGATCTTATTGTTTACACTTTGTACCCCGACCTCCATACACTGCATGTATAGCCATGCCGCGAGCATACGAGCGGCGGTGATGGAGGCTTGAAGAGGGTTTCGGCAAGTTTAGGGTTTGACAGGGGTACTTGGAGGATCATGGGACTTAGTAAGTAAAGTCATAAGTGCCTTAATGGGGGTTATAGGTATAGTTACCCTAATTATAACCCTATAGTTACTAAGTCCCATGATCCTGTAAGTAGACCCTAAACCCTAAACCCTATAGATCCCTTTAAGGAACCTTTATAGATCCCTTTAAGGAGCCCTTTAAGGAACCCTAGTTACCAAGTCCCATGATCCTTTAAGTAGGTTTGCTGTTTAGGGCTTGTCTTGAGTGGACGAGAGCTTGCAGCTTCGTGGTTCTCCATGTTACTCGTACGTAAGAAAGGGGCCTTAATGATTAGAATAGGTATTTCGGGCCCATTAGACTATGATTATACTACGGAACGCTCCTCAAAATCGTATTGGTAATTTACGGGTTTAGGGTTTCAGGGCTTCGACGATTTGGGGCGCATGGGGCGCAGGATCGCGAGCTCCGTGGATTCGGCTTGGGAATGCCAGCAGTTCCTTCCGATAGGGTTTGCATGGATGTCGACTACTTAAGGGATCATGGGACTAAGTAACTAGGTTTATAATTAAGGTAACTATACTTATACCCCCAACAAAGGTACTTGTAACCTTACTTACGAAGTCCCGTGATCCTCCAAGTAGTTTGAAACCATGTTCTTGTATGCCCTGTCTCTTTCCACGATCTGTAACGTGGATATGGAGCTTGGGCGGTAAGGTTTGTTTCAGATTTGTGGCATGTCCCAAGCTGAGTTTGTGCTTTGAGTCAGTCGTGTCTTCGTTCTGTGTGTTGACCCTACACGCGACGATCCTGCTGCCGCCCCCGGAGGTGTGCATGCCATCACCGCGGCTTTCCTAGAGACATCCTTCTCGAGACTTCTCACGCTGTAGAGCTTCGGGTTTAGGATTAGGGTATCCTTGCAACAGCTCTATGACTTACAGACAAGGATCTGGTGAGTTCAAGTTTTGCTAGGGCCGTCGCGATGGGATTGAGGTCGGTTCACACGGCTGATACCTAAGATGCGATTGGGTCAGTGCCAATGCCAAGAAGTCTCGAGAAGGATGTCTTATGTAGCGGTGAAGGGAGGAAGTATCTCAGCTGCTCGGACGACGCAAGTCCTCTTCTGTTTCAGGTCCATGGCCGTATACAGCTTCAGATTTCAAGATTGGTTGCTTGCGGTTCCAGACAAGAACAACGACATCCTTGGGTTCGAGTTTTTGCTGTCAAAGAGCCTTCGCTTCTCATAAGGGAGGAGGTGTTTCTGCAGCTGCGGGGGCAGTGAATTAAATTATGGTATCCACGGCATCGCCACCATGTGCACCATCGGCACACGGAATCTAGCACCTACTCCAACACCCGACACCATGACGGCAGTGGTTCTTACTGCTACTGCTGCTGATCATACTCACGACGCTACAGTCTCCCTCTTTTTTGTGTCGGTTACTGTAGCTGGCGCTATTCTTGCAGCAGTCTGCTGCGGAAGATGAGGCTTTGTGTTAGATCGATGAGCTCATGCGCAGCTGAAGACCGGCAACTTGGCATCCTTGAGCCGTAGTACGTTATAATATATTGTATATAGTATAGTATGGTCGACCATTGATGTAGCACATGTTCGTTCCTCTTCTGTGCTCCAGGGTCCAGCTGTTCGGTTTCGTCCTGGCATCTCTGGAACTGACTTCCAATCGTCAGCATGGTAGGCGACGAGCTTAGGGCGCAGAGCCCTGAGGGATCCTGCATATTACACTCTACTGTAAACTGCTAGAATTGGCTACAATCTACGTACTATAAAATACTTAATACGATCGACCGCAACCTACCGCAATATACAAAGGAGACTACAAGTAACCTAGTAGCGTAGCCTTGCGACCACATCAGGAGCTGGCGGAGTGCCTTGGCAACACTCTCCGACCTCCTGGCCGGCAGAAAGCCGAACATTCGCCATTGCAACGAGGACCCGTTTAGGGCTTAGGGTCTAAAGCCACAATAAAGTGCAGGGTGCGTTTATGGGCTTTGACCTTGATTTTGATATGGTATTTAGATCCTTAGTACAAAGGACCCTTAGATAAGGTACCCCCGATTTTAGGGAACGCTCCAAGCAGGAACAGAAGCTAGTCGTTTTCACGGCATCGGTCTTGCTATGGGTTTTGCTACCTTTTAGGTCTAAGGGTTTCGGCTTTAGGCCTTACCTTCTGAGGCTCGGAAATAGGGGTCCCCTTAAACCCTAAACCCTAAACACTATGGTTTGGGGTTGATGTACTCCTAAACCCTAAACCCTAAAGACCCTAAACCCTAAACCCTAAATCGAAATCGAAACCCTATGTTTCGGTGTTGGTGTTTCTTTTTTGTCCGTTTGATCCAGGCTTTCGGCACTTTGGCGACCTCCGGCCGCTGGCAGGAGATTCTTCATCTCTTTGAGGCCCTTTTCGGTGGGTTTAAGGGCTCCTATAGACTATGGGGTTTTATATTACTATGATAGGATCCCCTGTATGGGCTCTTTTGGGTGGTTCTCTAAAGAGTTCGTTTAAGGGCTGCTTTAAGGGCTCCTTCAAAGGAGGCAAAACTCTATTCACAGGCCCCGATACGCCCTCTATGTGCAAGCCATAAGCCCTAAGCAATCCTCATGGAGGTACTTAATCCTTAAGCCAAGCTTATTATTGGGGCCTCCCCGAAAGGAGCCCGAATATTCCTTAGGGCCCGTGTTAACGGAGCCCTTTAAAGGGACCTAGTTCAAATACCATGGGGCTAAACGTCCTTTCATTCTCGTCTTTTGGCGAGCGTTGAGTGCATGTGCACCAAAACACGAAAATGTAGGGCTTCTACTTAAAGGATCATGGGACGTAGTAATAACTAGGTTATAATTAGGGTAACTATACTTATGAAATTCTGGTACTTATAACCTTACTTACTAAGTCCCATGATCCTCCAAGTAGGGTGTAGAGCTTGAGGGGTGTACCTGAACCCCGAAGAACAGCTAGGGCCTGGAGGTTCTACCGGTGGAAAGGCTTCAACCGGATGTGGCGACCTGCAGCGCCGGTGGCGGCAAGAAGATAAAGCTTGGGTTTCCGAGTTTAGGGTTTAGGGTTTAGGGTGCCTATGAAAGGTTTCTAGTAGAAGGGCTCCCATACAAAGCGTCTAGAACGATTCCTATGAAGGGTTTCTACAAGGGCTCTATAGCCTTAAGGATGTAGGGCTTTCAGGGTTTAGGATCTGAGGGTTTTGAAGTGGCCGCCCCATTAAATATTAGGGGCTGCGGGGCATGTTTTTTGCTTTGGGGCTGAATTTCGCAAAAATAGCAGCTGCCGACTGGTGGCTTCATAGATGCTTTAGGTATGGACATGTCTGAAATTTAGGGTCAAGTGTTTGTTTCGTGTTTTGCCGGGTTCGGAATAAACAAAGTAGAAGGATCTGACCAGGTCTTTAACATCTCCTCAATTTTTGCAACTTGCTGACAAACTCACGGGTCGTTTTGTGTCGCCCGCTGTGAGATCCGGAGGCAAGTCTGACATGCAAAGCCGGAAGTGCTTACTTGCAAGATTTCGAGATAGCGTTTCTTTGGTTTAGGGACCCCAAGCCCAGACACTCCTAAGTAAAGCCTCGCAGACAACCGAGGCATTGCCATGCGAGCTTGCGCGCATGGCACGCAGTGGGTCCATGCTTTGCGGCTCCTGTGCCTTGCCTGTGCATTAGGATATGCAGATAGCGGAAACTGAATTTTGAACTAATTCTATCCGAACCCTAACCTCGCGGCTCATTCGCATTCAAGATTGCAGATGAGCTCACCTTTGGGGACTTCGCAGGGTACATTTGAAGCAAGATGCATGGTAAGCTTTGGTCTCGAAGCCTGTGCAGCCAAGGTTTCAGATGCCCAAATACCTGGTGCAGCCGAACACGATTTCTTTCAACACCGGAATGAGCGCGTGCCGCTTGGTTTGTTTAGCGTTCATCGCGATCTACTGGAGCAGAAGAAGCAAAGCAAAGACTACTTCGAAGAGCAAAGACTCGAGAAACACGTTAAGATTTGCTGCGTCGCTGAAACATCGCTGAAGCTGGAAGAAAGTGCAACTGGGGTTCGGCCCAAACCATGATCCTGTCACAGTTGCAATGGATCCGAACATCAAACCGATCCTCCCTCTCGCTTCAGCCGGCGTTTTCCAAAAGCCAAGCCACCGATAAAGGGAATAACTATTGAGTAGATGTAATGATAGAGTTCTACCGGCGGCGGTGGTGGTGGTGGTGTTGCTTGTGCTGGTGCTGGTGCTGGTGCTGGTGCTGGTGCTGGTGCTGGTGCTGGTTGCTGGTGCTGGTGCTGGTGCTGGTGCTGGTGCTGGTGCTGGTGCTGGTGCTGGTGCTGATGCTGGTGCTGGGCGCGGGTGCGGGTGCGGGTGCGGGTGCGGGTGCGGGTGCGGGTGCGGGTGCGGGAGCGGGTGCGGGTGCGGGTGCGGGTGCGGGTGCGGGTGCGGGTGCGGGTGCGGGTGCGGGTGCTGGTGCTGGTGCTGATGCTGGTGGTGCTGGTGGTGCTGGTGGTGCTGGTGGTGCTGGTGGTGGTGGCTGCCGGCGCAGTCGCAGGCACAATCGAAGTCGCGGTCGCAGTCGTCGTCTAGTAGGTGTAGGAGTAGGACTGTGGCAGTTTTAGTCCGTAGGATTAGTGGCGGTAATCAATGGCCGTCATCAACTCCAAGCCAAACAGAGGTACCAACGGTGGACATTGGGAGCGAGCATGGGACCTTGTGGCCAGCATGCGACAAGCTGGACCCACGCTGCGATCCGATTTGGGGTCGAGGGTTGTTGGGTACGGCGCGCATGCATCTGGTATTGTCGACTGTTCTTGCACTATGTCTGGGTGAAGTAAGGCAAATCTTGGAGTCTCCTCAGGTCGCACAGCAGGGACATGCTTTGCGGTCAACCCGAACCCTATTAAATGTAGAACCCAAGCTCCTGAACCCCTTCGCCCCGACCGCTGTGCCCATAATTTACGGCATTCAACGTCACTCAGTCTGTATACCCCTCAAGAAGCCCAGTGGCATTCTTCCGCACCTTAAGAGCCTGAAGACAGGAATCCCTCCGGACAGCACCGGCTTCAACACTTGCACCAACGTCTGCGCATCTGTGGGCGCTTGGGGTGCAGCAGTGACACTGCTGACCCAGTCGGTGTTGGCTCAGGCTGGGCGTTTTCAAAATGAGGGCTTAGAGTCTTAGAAGTAGCATAGCTAACCTTGCACCGTCTTGGGTACTAGAACCCCTGCATAACCGAAGAACTGGACCAGCGGAGAGGTTGTATTTCAAGCACCTGTGATGTTTAGTGGTCCAGAGGTGATGGGTCAGGGCTTTTTGGTGCTGTGGGGCCCCAGGTCCCAGAGATCCGGGTCGACACCGCTCATTGGAAGCACCTCTACACCCCAAAGAGTCCCAGTGCCATTGCAGCAGGCTCTTCTTAGCAGATCTTTGGGCACCCGAAGTATGTACTACACTGTTACTTGTTCTTAGCAGATCTTTGGGCACCCAAAGTATTATGTACGACTGCACTGTTACTTGGACCCTTTGTGTATGTGTACAGTAAGTTTCACTAAAACCCCGGTTGAAGCAGGCACCTTCAGATCCCAGGCCCGAAGTTCTATAAACCCTGAGTCCTCCACGCTATAGGCTGTAAGTCCGAATCCTACTTGGAGGATCATGGGACTTAGTAAGTAAGGTTATAAGTACCTTATTTTGGGGTTACAAGCATGGTTACCCCAATTATAACCCGAGTTACTAAGTCCCAAGATCCTTTAGGTACACCCCAAAGAAAAAGGGAATCCGACACATTAAATCCTGAACCTCCACTCGATAAGCGAGCTCGAGTATAGACCAGTTCCAGGTGTCTCCGGATGTGCGCCTGGGCTGCCGGTGATGGCGAAGGGGTTTGGGAGGACTAGGGTAGGGTAGGGTGGGGTGGGGTGGTAGGGTAGGGTAGGGTAGTAGGGTAGGGTAGACCAATGGAGACCCCCGATGACCCAAACCTGGGTGAGGACCCCAAATATAGTCTCGTCTAGGGGATGGGGTTTGTGAATGGGAGGTCTACATTGTAGAGAGATAGAAAAGTCTGAGAAAGAGGGAGAGCGAGAAAGGCAGAGAGAGAGAGAGAGGCAGACACGGAAACAGAGCAACTCACAGTGACATCTGCTCCAGAAAAGAGACTGGCATACGAGGAACATCAACATCCCTCAGAATCAGTGCAGGACTTAAGCACTGGTGCAAGAAAGAGAAAACGAAGATGGACCGATGGACTTGGATGAGTTCCGAAGATTCAGCAAAGCCTAAACCCCGCACTGTTAATCCTCAAAGTTCTCGTAAGCTACAACTATCAACACGCGAAGCCCAGCTTTGAACGCATGCGTATCCCCTTATGGTCCCTTTGCTAGGTAGAGCATGGTAGACCAATACATCATCCCCAAACCACCAATAACCAAGCCCGCTATAGCAAGCCGTCGAACAAACTATTCCTTCCAGACTCTCTGCAACCCTATAAAACCCCATGACACCCTCCTCAGCTTCACAGTTGTTACCGTGGTGGTGATGACCATTGTTGTTATCATTACGAATATTATGTTTGTTGTGATTTTATTCGCATTTCGACCAGTATCATTACTAAGATGATTACTAATACTATGGTTGTTGTGACAACTATTCGAACTATGACCAGGATCATTATAACATGACAGCCCTGTCTTCAGTTTCCGAAAGCCGACGTCGTCGAAGTGAGGATCGGCTTCAACAGCGCGCTGAAGGGCTGTGCAGTGGCCGAGGCGTGGCAGTCACCTGGCAAGGACACTTGTACGGAGTTGGGGGGGGTTTCCAGGGTTTCCGAAACGCAAATAAGGTTTCATCAGGGTTCTATAAGGGCTAGGTCGGCTGGGTTCCTGAGTAGTAGCCACCCTTTACCCTTTGCTTTTTGGGTTTCCATATTAGATCCAGACACTAGGAAAAAGGATATCCTCACTATTAAGGCGCCACTTAGGAACCTGAGGGTGCTTGTTGGGTTCAGCGCCTAAAGTTTAGGGTTTCTGTTTGTTGGTTGCATTGAAGTTCTTGTAGGGTGCATGGGGTTGCATAGGTTTGGTTTAGACGAGTTCCGCAAGGGTTTGTGGCTTTTGCGGGTGATAAAGGTTCCAGAAGGCTTTGAGGTTTTATAGGGTTTGTTTAATTTCGGGATTTCGGGGTTATTAGGATACTATAAGGGTTCTATAATTTAAGGGCTACAATTTAGAGTTTGTTTACGGTTCCGGGTTTAAGGTTCAGGATTTGGTTGGCTATAGGCTTTGAGGTTTAGCAGTTTAGGGTTTACGGAGCGTGGGAGGTCCGACAGTTTTTGTTCCCGAACTTAGCACTTCTAAGTTACCGAGGAATACACGAGCACTTTCTTTTTTCAGCTAGGGTGTAGAGTGTAGCGTTTGGTGCTGAGGGCATGGAGGCATCTGGGTTTGGATCTGGGCTGTAGGGCTTAAAGGAAAGTTCCGCGCGCTGCAGTGTTACAGCAGATACCTGCTTAGCCCGAAAGCCTGAGACATGGTATCTGCAGCACTGAGCCCCCAACGCCAAACCCCGCCCGCCAATAGACATTTGGGAGTTTCCGAAAACAGGGGACCCTAATATAGTACCCTAAATAGTAGGATCCTTATAATAAGGAGCCCAAATAAGGTACCCCTAATTTTCGGGAACTCCCATTTTGCATCCTGATTAAAATGCCTTAGGCCTTGAACTCAACTCACGGACTTCAGCCTAAGGCCAGCGTGCCATTTGCTTCGCCAGATGCCGGAAAAGCTCGTCCGGCCCACTGCAGCTGGGCTAAACAGCCACTGATTCTAGATGCTAGGAACTGGCATCCCGCAGGATGTTGTGGCTTCTGACGAATTTCGGTGATAGAGGCTACCAGCTATGAGCCATTTTTAAGCAGGTGATAAGACCATCTAAAGCCCTTAAACAGCCCAGGCTCGAAGCTACAGCAGCTCCATCACAGCCACCCTGCAGCCCGGCTGCACCTAATTCGGCGGCTCGAAGCTTTTAGTCTTTGAGTGGCCATGGTTTAGGTGTTTTTTTCTGACATCCTTTGTGTAGCTTTCGTTTCTTTGGAACGCTGAGAAGTCCCTCAACTCTCACTTCTAACTCTGCACAAATCCGTTTACAGAAGCAGAATAGGATACGGTTAGAAGTTAGAAGGACCCCAAAAATGTGGTACCCCTAAGCTGAACAAGACCGCATTTACCATCGGTACGACACCCGATAACATCATCATAGGAATCCGATGATACCCTTCTGAAAAACTTTCTTCAAACTCATGAAACTTTACCCCGGATCCCCAGAAAGCCCACTAGGAATCCTTAAATACGCATGTTCCACAACGAGTTACAACAAAGGATTTGGGCAAGAGCACTGGACCTGGGTGCCCTGAGTGTGGCTTCGGAGAGCGTGGTTTGCCGGAACGGCGTCGCAGCGAGACTGAAAAGCATTTAGGCTTAGGGTAAGGGTACAAGGTCCTGCAAGGGTTAAAGGTTCTAGGGATCAGGGTTTGGCTTTGGGTTTTGTGTGGGGCTTAGAGTCTATAAGGGATTTGTCGGAATCACTGCCGTCGAGGAAGGGTCGTAGGGTTGTTTTACCGGTTTTCTTGTCGGGTGTACCGGGTAGCGGGCGATGTTCCGTTTCATAATGTGTGGTCGGTCTCGGCAGTTCCATGTAAATTTTTTAAATCAGGCATTCACGAGAGTTTCGCATAGAGTGAGCTTGTCTGGTGTGCAGGTACATCAGTTGCGGAGGGGATTTGTTTCTAGGTTTCTGTGGCTTGAAGGTAGCCCAAAGTTTTAATTGCATGGCTTGAAGGGGTGACTGTCAGCATCCGAAATCCGAAAGGTCCCTTGCATTTTTGAGTATACAGGATCATGGGACTTAGTAACTAGGGTAATAATTAGGGTAACTATACCTATAACCCCAGTTAAGGTACTTACAATCTTACTTACTAAGTCCCATGACCCTCCAAGTACAGAGTTCCCAAATGCAGCGCACCTCCAGGCCCCAAGCCCCTACACCCAAGACCACTTCCATAGGGGTTTGATTGGTTGATAACTATAATCGCTATAAGCCCTTATAGTCCTATAAATATGTTCTTGTATATGGAGCTCTACTATGATTATGCCCTCCTCCCCCACACACACACACACACTCATTGCACCAGCCACGAATCCTACTCCAGCAATGCCAAAGGCTCGAAGTACCAAACAAACCCTAAACTCGAAACCTTAAACCCTATGCCGCCAATGGGAATTTCAGAGGATAAAGGGCCCCAATATCGAATCCCCCAAAGAATCAGATCCCTACTGTGTGGATCCCGAGGTAGCTGCGGCCTCCCGCGCGGGGGTCTGGGCTCGCGCCGCGGCCTTGTTGGCGGCACTTTGCCACGAGGCTCTCCCAAAAAGTTGTTTGCATGTACACGCTTTCTGTGGAAAATGCGCCCGACGTCGGTGCTAAACTCGGGCATTCTCTCCACATCCTCAGAAGCCTTCATGTATGCCCATGGGGGGTTTCCAGGCAAGGATGAGGGTTGAGGGATTTCATACATCCATTTAGATGCACAAGGGAGGGTTCGAGCTAAACCCCAAAACCCTAACCCGAAACCCCAATACCTTAACCCCAAACTCTACCCTAATAATGAATCCCTGAACCCTAAAACGCAACTGATGCTTTCACTGACAGGTCGAGCCCAATATCGTCAGCTTTGGCGGGGCCGTAGGCCCCTGGCCGCATGCCGCAGCTTTGGCTGTTGCGGCCACATCGGTCGGGTGCCGGGGCACGAACCTTTGTAGTACCCATTAGTACAGACCTCTTACAGATAGATAGATAGTGAGGTAGAAAGAGTTGTGTAGATAGATGATAGATAGAAGCCCTTGTGTAACCTTATCTGGTACCATTCCGAATGGTATCAGCATTGGTACGGAGATGATGCTCAGGAGTCGCCGTGCATGTGTATTAGGTAGTGTGATCTTATCACTGCAAGGCTTCGTCCCACCGTGGTGCTCTACAATAGCATCGCGAATGCCTGTGGCGAGGACTTCTTCACATAGTGTTGCATTAATTAATTTATATATATATATATATATACATATGCACACACATATGTGTACGACTATCTGAAGATACGGCCCATTTCATGTGCGTACCCCTTGAACAATAGTCAATAGGATCCTGACGGTGAGGATGAAGATGCCAGAGACGCTAGATGGTCGAATACGCCACAGGCACCCCCCCTCCCCCCCCCCCCCGCTCCTAAATCCCCCCACCCTGCCAGCATGCCGTCGTTATTGCGCCAGAAGTCCTCCCGCCAGCATCCCGGCGCCGTGTTAAGATTGAGATGGACATGAAGCCATATCTACACGTGGTTCAGGATCTCGTTGGTATTTCTCTGTATCTCTGCACCTCAAGGTCACAACAGCATTACCTGTTATTCCGAAATTCCCATCATTCTTTACTACGTTTCGTTTGACTGTCATTATCATCATTATCGATTGTCATCATCATTCTTTTGAATTATATGGTTGTTACCGTGCATGACAGCCGCAAAAACTACAATTTGAGTGTTGTTGCTCCTATTGCGACACGGGTTCAGCCCCCTGTGGAGGACGGTCGCTGGAGCACGGCCCTTCTGGCTCTGGAGGACATGATTCAAGCGCCCTGGGCTACGTCAGTCGTTTGGGTTTGAGATTTACATCACAGGATTGCGGGGGAGGGGGGGAGGGGGGCAGCTTAAGACTCGGAGGATTTAGGTGGCGGTTTTGAGTCTCGGGCTCTGGGGTTTAAGGCAGGATCCAGGGATGCAACGGAAGGACGTGTACGGCTTGCAGCCGTGGTATAGTTCTGTGGCTGAGGGTTCTGGTTCCTAGGTTTGCAACCTGTGGCATGGCCCATCCCCTGCAACCGATAGTCGTCGAACGGCGCATCATCTGTCAACCATCTGACTAGTAAGAATAATATGGTTAGCAGTAGAAATAATATTCATCATAGTATGTTTATTTTTAGTAATACAAATTCACAATGAATAGGAATACTTCTAATCGCCAGGTATCCACCACACCCACCATCGTCACCTACAACTGCCTCATCCGAGCCAGTGCACAGCAGGGGCTGTGGGAGCGTTCCCTGGAGATTTTGCAGGCGTTTGGCTATGCAATGTTTTCGGCTCGCAATTCCTCTGCATGTGCGACATGTACGTTAGTTCGAGCTGCGAGTAACCCAGTGTTGTTGCTAATCTTTGAATGCTCCCCAGTCGTTGATTACAGCAAAGCGCGACGTGCAACGGCACATCCATTCAGCTAGGACCGTCCAAATCCAATAAGCCGACACGATGATGTTCTTACATCATGTCCAGAATCTTACGAACTCCGCACCGAGAGTCGAAAACCCTAGAACCTGAACATAGGGAACTGTGAATCCTACGCCACACACACAAAGCAGAAGAAACTCCGTTCCTTTGTTTCAGCTTCCACCCCCTCGGCATCAGCCAGTTTCAAGCTTTAGGTCTTGGGGTGCAGGTTGCGGGCTTGTTTAGGGTTTGGGCCTCAGGGCTTCATGCTTTCTCGTTTGGGCTCCACCGACGGCCAGCATCCAAAAGCACTAGACGCAAACCTTCGAACCTGAGCCCCAAGCCACTTTACCTATAAACAGATGATCCTGAAACCCTTAATCTATGTCTTTGAGTCTAGTTAGCTGCTTATGCCCGGCCAATGAATATTTGATGAAACTCTCCAAGCCCTATATCCTAAATCCTCTAACCCTCAAAAAGCTCGAACCACAGGCCCTGGACTCTGAAACTCCAAAACCTGAGAGGCTCTGATGACGGCGGCCCCCCTTCCAGATGAGATAAGCTTCAACTCAGCCATTGCAGCTCTTTCGGAGGCTGGAACTGGTGCTTGGATTAGGTTTCGGGGTTAACCCTGACCCCCGAAAGCCTCAGACCCCCAAAATCCAAAACCCTACTTGGAGGATCATGGGACTTAGCAAGTAAGGTTATAAGTACCTTAATTGGGGTTACAAGTATAGATACCTCAATAATAACCTTAGTTACTAAGTCCCATGATCCTTTAAGTACCAAAATCCTCTAGTGACTCTAGTGCCTCCCTCGCCACAGATCTACGATTGGCCTCGGGCCTTGGACCTACTGCAGCATATGGAGAAGAGGCCCGTTTTGTGCTACTCCGAAAGGATTTGGGTTGCAAGGTTTAGAAGAAGAGGCCCTAAACCGGATTGTTATCTGCCGAGGCTTTGGGAATGAGGACTTGTTTTCGGACTCTGGCTGCAGGGTCTATTTCAGGACAAGCCTTCCGAGTAGGAGCGGACATGATGGCGCGAGTTGACCATGGGGGGAATCTACCACAGACTCCCTCGGCCCCAAACCCTGAAGCCTGAAGCCCCAATAAACCGAGACAGCTGCATCTCGGCGGGCAGGAAGCTGCCCCCAGACACGGTCACCTACAACTCAGCGGCTCGTCGACTCACGATTCACTGGGATCTGACCCTAGCAAAACCTGGCGAATGAGTGCGACCGCACATTCCCAAGCATTGCAAGCCCTAGCTCGAATCGGAGCTGCCATTCATGAGAGCACTGGAGCCTACATCCCCGAAAGCCGGAAGTGCAAGGAGTTTCCGGACTTCGACCCTCGCCCAGGTGCTCAACGTCTGCGCACAAGATGGCGAGTGGATCGCTGCAGTCGCTGTGTTTGACCGTATGATCTCCGCAGATGTGCGGCCCAATGAGATCAGCTGCTCGGCCAGAGCGGTATGGCGCAGATGGCATAACAGAGGGGCTTGATAATTTATGGGCCTAAATGATTACCTATACAATTTTGGTGGTTCCTTTTTTTTGTAATTTTTGTAGAATGGCCCTCAAAACCCTATTCTAATGATTAGCGCCGCTATATTAATTAGTAAAACTGTTGCAGAAGCGTCGCTTCGGCCGGGATTGAGCCGAATTAGCATTATTCCTTGAGGCTTTCTGAAACCTCAATATCCTGTCAAAGTCTTTGGGCCTGTTATGTGCGCCAGTCGCAACCCCAACTCGGTAAGGTTCGTGTTGCTATTTCAGCTTCTAGGCATTGTTTGGTTCTGTATGTAGAGCAGAGAGCTGAACCGAACCGCGCATGCCTTGCGCAAAAATGCTTGCCGAGCCCTTGTAAAGCTTACCAAATCCTGCAAAACTTTTCTGCATCTGGAAAACAAGCTGACAAAGCTGCAGCCTGTTTCCTTGACCTTGAACTCTCAACTCAGCCCTAAACTCTAAATCCTAAACCCTAAACCCCAACTCAGGCTACAGCAGTCTCCTCAGCGCCTGCGATAAGGGAAGTCGCTGGCAGCTGGCTCTTAGTGTACTTCGAAGCTTGCGGCTTGGGGAGGCCGGTTTTGCTGAGGGCGTTTTAGTAGCCTGGTTTTGCAGGGTTGTGGTTATCTAGGGTGCTATTGCAATGTGTTTGGGGAGTACCAGTAGCGTTGATTCACACGGTTTGAGTGCTTGTGCGACTCGAACGTTCATGCTGGTGGCTATGTGCCGTATGCAGCCGCTGAAGCCAACTACACCGTCACGGCTGCATGGTCCTAAACCCAAGCTTCTATTCGAGGCGTCAAGGTGCTGGCTTCGGGATTTCTGGATTCAAGGGAAAGGATGACATTCCGGGCACCTGGGCCAAGAGCATGAGATTGGTTGATAGCTTGATGACCTACCTGTCTGGCTGAGGTACTTGGTTTACGATTTAGGTTTAAACCCTGAGGATCCTGAAGACATGCGAAACGTTTCAAGCCTTGAGCCAACTGGAAAGATAAGACTTCTTCGCAGGTCCTGCCAGGAATTATGAGCTTCAACAGCGCTGTCAATGCCTGTGGCCGTGGAGGCCCGCTGCAAGTTGTGATAATTTTTCAAATCTGCGGAGAAGCTGTGTGCCTAATTACACACCGAAACCCAGAACCCTGCTTCGTCAAAGGTTTGGAGCTGCAGGTGAGACATTGGGTAATCTCCAAGGCTTGGAACTATTTTTTTTTCGGCTGGTGCAGCTTGGAGGTAGGGGACGAGTTGACGATAGCGCGAGCCTGCCGTCGGCACATGTCGGCACTATATTTGACTGGCCTGTTCGTTGCAGGGCACGAGAGTCTGAACCTTATCTCTTCGAACTATACCTGCAGAACTCCAAACAAGAAGACTCACATCCCGAAACGTAGCGAACATTCGACCGATGTCCATGAGTCTTCTCCCTCAGTCGGCAATACGAGCTTGTAAATCCTCGTCCTGAACATACCTGAACATGATTGGCTAGTTTGCCAGACTTTTGAGCACTCAGACAGCCCGCCAGTGCCGTTCAGCGACTTGCCTTTGTGCACTGGCTTGCCGAGTTCCTGTTACTTGGACCGGCATACTGTAGTGAGCATCCTACCCTAGGGTTTGCGTTACAGATACCGTGTTTTCGAACGCTCCGGTCTCCTAGCGACCTAGTGCTTACCTACGACAACGCTGCAGTGCGGGATATGTCAATTCAATCGCAATGGGCTTGGCACACCTTTCCACGACTTTCGATTCCGTAGCACTTCCGTATCGCTCTCGAGCATGGAACCTATCCCATATCCCCTAGCCCTAGCACTAGCATGTCTGAAATTGCATAGACATGCAAGCTGGAAGATTCATGTGGGTGCGACAGCTCCGAGAGATGGTAAAGGATGCCGCCCCAACTGCTCGGCGTTGGTGGGGCACCATCCCTTCACTTCAACATCTACGACACGGTGGTACAGCGAAGCTGGCTGCTCATCCAGCTGACGAAGTCGAGGAACTCCGTAGAAAGAACCTGCAGCTTCGAAACGTTCTCAAGACCATTCACTGGCCCAAGCTGACATGCTTTGAAGCAAATGGCCAAAGCTACGATCTGCCATTGCCGGTGTTGCGACAGGCAAGTGCTCGTATTAACACAGTCGAAGATGCTACTGTTCGATTTCTGGCCGGTTTCTTCGATGGGGATGGCTGTGTTGCTTGCCAGTCAGGTTTGTCGGGATGCTATCTGACAGTAGAACAATGCTTCGATCGAGCCGAAATTTTGATGCTGTTCCGAAAATCGTTCGGTGGCAGCATTACTGTAAACAGGGACGGCCTGGGCTTGCACAAGCCTGTCCTTCGGTGGCAAGTGTACGGACAGCTGGCCAGAACGGCTGCCCGGCTCATGGCGCCGCACAGCATCACGAAGCACCAGCAGCTCCTCTTTGCGTCCGAGTGGCCTAAAGCAAGATCCTGCAGAAAAGAGGCCAGTTCGGAGCTGCGCTCATTGAAACAATACGACTCTGCGGTTCCCGGAATGTGCAGTTGGGAGTATGTTGCAGGTTTTTCGATGCAGACGGTCATATTGGCCAGCCACACTTTGGGGCAGTGTCGATTATTCTTGAGATCAAGCAGAAGCACCCTTCAGTCTTAGAATGCCTTCGCATTTTCTTGGAACGAAGCAAGGGTGTCAATGCACCATTGCCGAAAGTCCGTGCTGAGTCGCAAGCATTTTGTCTAAGGATTACTGGTTTGCTTGTTGGCAAGGAGCTACTGAGTAGCTCCTTGCCAACAAGCAAACCAGTAATCCTTAGACAAAATGCTTGCGACTCAGCACGGACTTTCGGCAGCTACTGCACCAAATGCTAGCAGCAGGTCTACTTATCAAGGCCAAGCAGGCCAGCTTGGTTGCTGGCCTAACCACACAAAATGCAGCAAGCATAAGTGCTGAGCTGGCCAGCCTGACTGGAAACCAGAGTTTCGCAAAGCGACTGGACCGCGCTGGACGTGAAAGGGCTCGAAAGATTCGAGATGCGCGTAGTCACGCTGCGCGCTTGACTCGTCGAGGGCAACAACGTAACGCTGAGTCCAAGCTGGCCGACATTGAGGTATTGCAGCATGAGCATGAGCTTCTGAATGCACGACTGCAGAACCAGCGTTTGCTTGAGTACCTGTACAATATTCGCGAAGCTCCGGTGCCCGCTCTGAAAGGCGCAAATGGTTCCGTGGTGTAACCATGGGGTGCCGGATGAAGGTGCGAAACAACGCACTTGGAAAGAAGAGGCTCTGTCAGGGAAGCCCGACTTGTGGCGCTGCAAAACGTATTTTTTCTTTCATAGTGCAAGGCTGCCGCGTGGAGTGCCCGACTTCCCACTGCGGAGTCTCGCCCCAGCTCCAGGTAAGAAGAACCTTCTCAATCACAAACTGATAAGACTCTTAGACGACGTGTGAATACAATTTTCTGATGGCAGAGCCCGGGGAGCGGTGAGCATGCGGGAGCGCGACCCTTAGCATCGCGAGTTGAGGTTCGAGGTCGATCAGAACTGAGAGCCCCTGCGGGTATAGTTTCAAGGTCTGCTAGAATGCTGCTGCTAGAAGCTTAATGCTGGCACGGCGCACGAACGGCAGGTCATTGGTGGCGCTTCCTGTCTCTTCTGTGTACCTGGGCTGGAGGTTTAGACATGAGATTGCCGACCCCCCGCAGTTGCAAGTTATGCACAACTCATGTCACCGGCATTCTATGATGGTTTGGTTCTGGTTGCCATAGCAAGACTGTATTTTACGACTGACACGCAATGCAGATGCTGTTGTCTGTGGTCAACATAGTGTTGATGCTACGGACAGAGGGTGCTGCAGTGATGCCGGGTGTTATTAGACCTCCAATTTATGCCACGGTCAAGGATGTCAAGGTAACGGTCAAAATTAGCATTAATACGATGATGACGAAGACGGTTTAATTTGCCAGTGCTATTGTCGCGAAGGATGGCCGTGGTGGAGATGATGGAAGCATACCCGCAAGCCACGGCAACATCAACACAGCCACAGCAGCAGCAGCAGCAGCAGCAGCACATTGCAACAACAACGACAGTAGCAATAGCAGTAGCAATAGCAACAGCAATATACTAGCACTGGCGATAGCAATAGCAATAGCAATAGCAATAGCAGCGGCACAGCAGCAACAACGACAACAACACCAACAAGAACAACATCAGCAACAACGCCACCAGAACACGCGCCAACAGTACCAGCACCAGCAACAACAAAGGCAAAGGCAACAGCAACAGCAACAGCAGCAACAAAAGCACAAAAGCAAACGCTACAAGTCCACTACATAAAGGCTCATCGCAGCAGCAACAGAAGAACAGGAAGAGCGAACATAGCTGCGTCAGCACGGGGAACAGACACGAAACCCGAAGTCAATCCTAGCGCCGAAACCTGCAAAGCTGCAACCTCGTAAGTGTTCTCTGAGCCCTCTACCCAGACACCACAAAAGCCATGAAACCCCCAACCATACGAGATCCCAAACCCTAAAACCTCGCCGCAAAGCCCGAAGAAGCTCTAAACGAAAAGACACCCTCAACATAGAGTTCCTGTGAGTCACTCACAAAGTCAACCTTCTTGAAGCCTTTCGATCTCATGAGGCTCTCTGCCCCGGCCCGATGCCGTCACCTACAGCAGCGGCCTCACAGCCTGCTCTTTGAGCGCGGCGTGCCGCGGCTGAGGTTAGGGTTTTAGGGTGTGCGGGGTTTTGGAGTTTGGCGGGGTTTTGGAGTTAGAGGTTTCGGGGTTGGGTTTGGGGATCCGGCTTTAGGGGTTGGGGATTTGGCTTTAGGGGTTGGGGTTCTGGATCGAGCGACTGAGGTTGACTGAAGAGTCGTGTCGTGTTGCCCGGGTGCCAGGTGGCAGATGACAGTGGCCCTGTTGAAGGCCGGGTCGGGTCTGGAGTGACAGCGTGGAGACATAGACAAGTTGTTTTGAGTGTTAGGCTTTAGGGTTTTCGGCTTGACGAGTGTGTTTTCGGTGTTTTGGGATTCGGGGCTTGGTCGAGTAAGGTTTGAATGCAAAAGCTTGGGATGTGGGGCTCATGTACCATACACTCGTTACACCCTCCTTGAGGCTCTTAAAGGTGCCTCGAAGCCCTATCCATTCACAAGTCACAGCCGCAGCTCGGAAACACAACACAGTGTTCCTTTCAGGGATTTTGCTCTCACTTGCGCTTCTTTGGAGATTCATCCGACAGTGGCAGAACAGTATGTGAATTGTAAGTTCTTGCGATTTGCAAAGTTCACTTGTAGGGTCAGGAGACGTAGTAGATAAAGCTACATGTGCCTGGACCCAATTTGCACATGCAGCCACCAACTACGATGCCCGAACTAACAACCGTGTTGGTAGAGGGTTTCGGTGCCGGGATTCCAGGCGTAGGATTGTGCGCCTTGTGCGGTAGTCCAGGTCTCTGTCGATGCAATCGAATGATTTTTCCCAACATATGCAAAACACAAACCCCGAAGCCCAAGCCCTAGTCCAGTCTGCAGGGCTGAACTTTATCGCATCCGAAGGGTTTCCGTTGCTCAGAACCTCCACAAGAGGGCACTGAGGCCTCGAAGCCTCGACCCAAACCTACACCAGGAAGGCTGCAATGCTGTAGAATGTACAGTATTTGGGATCTTCAGCCCGGCGTAAGCTTTAGGATTTTGTATTCAAGGTTTGGGCTTCGATGTTCAGTAGTTGGGACTTTGGGATGGGCCACACGTGTCCTGGACTAAAGTGCTTCACCTGATAAGGAGAGATTTTTTCTTGTGGGCTTCGTTCGTCCCTGCCACGACCTATATTAACATGAGACGACATCTTTGGAAGGAAATTCCGAAGCGGCAACTCGCCACCGGCCTTCTTTGCTACATCTCCGTGCTTTCTGCCTGCCAAAGGAGCCTGGGCAACGAACCCTTAAAGGAACCCTTAAGGGAACCCTTAAAGGAGGCCGGAAAGGAACCCTCTAAAACGAATCCGTACAGGGTTCCTCTAAAGGGCAAGGTTCGGCCTTTCTCGCGAAGCCCAGGAGTGGCATTTGGCGCCTCTCCCTGGCTTTGCTGAGATCCGAGCCAGGCGCTGGCTGTCTGCCTTGAAAGGGTGGGCGCCTTTCAGGGTCCATAAGGTTGCTATAAGGGTATCATAGCGTCTAGGGTTTAGGGACTCAAAAGGTGTAGGGCGGCTTAGGGCTCCTTTACAGGGATTCTTTGAGGGCCCCTTTAAATGGATCTATAAGCGTCCCTTAAAAGGAAACATGGAAGTTTATGGATTTAGGGGTTTTGGGATTTAGTCTTGGAAGGGTGGGCTCCTTTAAAGGTAGTCTCTAAGGGCTCCGTTAAAGGTAATTAAGGGTTTGTTTAAGGATGTTGAAGGGGCTCTATAATAAGGGTTGAGGGTTTATGGGTTGAGGGTTTCGGGGTTTAGGGGTTTGAGAAGTCTTGCGCTGTGTTTGGGCCTTGGATTTCGAGGAATTTGGGCTTTATGGTAAGGGGTTTGAGGGTTCAGGGATGTATGGGGTATTAGGGTTTTACTAGATGGGATCGATCTTCGAGCCTTCGATTTGAGATGGGACTTCAGGGCCATGGTTTGGTAGCGAGATCGTGCAGCTAAACTGGAAGCCCCTCGGTTTCATAGGAAACCGTTTTTAAACCCGAACCCCGAGCCCTAAACCTAAAACCGTAACTTCACCCGCAGGAGCTTGGGATGTGGCTTCCTTCAACAACGCTGTCGGGGTATGTGCCCGAGCCGGTAGATGGAGGCTCTTCGGAGAGGAAAGCTGCGCACTTTCATTCACGGTTGCAGGTTGGAGTGTTTAGAAAGTATACGGTTTGTCGTGGGGTCAGGTACAAGAAATGTGAACATCACAGGCTCACCACATCGATTTAGAACAACCGCTATCACCTTCTGTTAACATTGCTGTCGCTTCCTCGTTTCCATATGCTTGTTGTTACTCTATCCGAACATGGTGCAGAGCAATCGTTGATATGTGTACCGGTACACGAGCTCTGGAATGGGCGAACCACTATTTGTAACATGATCAGCATGGCGTTGTCATATTGCACAGCAAACTATGTATATGAATTGTACCGTGGTTTCAGTTTGACTCATCCCTAGATCCTGGAACCCCGCAGCCCTACACCCTACCACCGCTATAAGCCCTAAGCCCGAAGCGGTCACTCTAAACACTTATAGTATCCCTTGTCGCACCGGTTTTTGTACCCATGTGTTGGTACCCTTTAGATTGCCGATTTAAAGCCTTCAACTCCGCAGGCACGCCATGGCTGTCTTTGACACCATGCTTGGATCGCGGTATGTGCCGGATGCAATCAGTTTTGGCTCTAGAACCTCGGTTGCAAGAGCTTAGAACTTGCGTAGGGGAAGTTTTTAGATAGGATTCAGCATATAGGGTTAGTTCGGGCTTAGGGGTAAGTATAGTTCTACATACGTATGAGCCCATCTGTTTAAGGTACTGATGTCCCCTGTAAAGGCCCCCTGTAAGCGAAGTAGGCATACCCATTACTTCCGAGGAGCCTTCAAGTACACCTTGTCAAGGTCTATCTTCCACAATGCCAGCATTTAGCAACTACGCCATTTCCCCGAAGCCATCAACTTCACATTATCCCTAAACCCTAAACCCCAAACCATCTTCATGCTCATCTTCTGCCATGAACCAAGCAGTTCAGGGTTCTGAAAAAAACCGTACAGTTACACCCCAAGCCCGAAAGCTAGATTCAATGATCTGGCCATGATTGCAGACACCTGCCCTTCGGCCAGGAAGCCAAAATCCCTTGCCTCCAGGGCTGTAAACTCAGCGTCAGAGCTTCAGACAGAACCTGATCTGACCAGAAACCCCCAGAGCCCCCGATCACAACCCTAGACTCGAAAACCACGAATTGCTAGAAGCCAAACCCCAGTATTCCAGAATCCTTTTGCAGGTATCCGTGCCCTTGCTGAGGGCAGCAAGTGGGCCGAGGTTGCTTTGCTCAAAAGACTACTGTGTTCGTACTTACATAGATACTACTGTACCAGACAAACATACCTAAATGCGTCTGCACATAGGTACGTATATGCCTACGACTTCATGGTGGTGCAGTGTACCCACAGGCCCAACCTTGTCTAACTTTGAAGCTTGGCAATCTTATGCCAAGAGCTTTGCCCGGGAAGGACAAAGCAATGGCAGGCTCCCTTTAAGTAGGGGCCTTCGATGTTGTTCCTGCTTAAATCGGGATCCACATTATGCATGACCCCCAAAACCTATGACACCTGGAACACCGAAGCACCCAAAGTTTAAGCCCTAAACCCCTAAACCTTTCACCCTCAATCCTGAACCCTGTAGTATAAGCCCTAAACCCTAAGCCCCAGAACCCCTAAACCCCTATACCCGAACCCTCTAAGAGAAACCCTAAACCCGTATAGGAGCCCTTATAACCCTTTAAAGTAACCCTTAAATCCAAACCCTCTAAAGAGAAACCCTAAATTCTAAAACCTTTCAAGCTCGGGCCCCAGGTGTTGGAGCTTTTGGACGCCATGGAAGACTCAGCTCTGGACCCTGAGTTGATCACGCAGCCCATCTGGAGCGGGGTTCCTATAAGGGGTCCCTATTGGCTAATTTAGTTACTAAGTCCCATGATCCTCCAAGTAAGGGGTCCCTAAAAGGGCTTACTTAAAGGGTTGGGGATCTATAAGAGCTTAGGGTCCAGGGTATAGGGTATGTTTTTTTGGGGGTTTAGGGGCCAGATAGAGTTGATGTCTGAAGGGGTTACTTCGGTTTTACGGGCTTTGGGATCAGGGTTCAGGGCTCAGGGTAAAGCCGGCAAGCAAGATTGTAGACCGAGGTACAGCTTTGCCATGGCGGCTTGCAATCGGGGTGGTCAGCACCTTGTGCGGCAGACAGAGCAGATTGCATCGTGGTTTGTTCATGGAGACCTTTTGGTTTTTATGGCTTCTGGTCTTACAGGGTTCAAAGTCTAGGACACAAAACCGCCTGTAACCTGCAACCCTGAGAGAATCTGGGCATTTGCAGCTACGTCCAATTGCCGCCAGACGTGAGGAACTGCCAGCCTGGTAGGGCTTTGAATTTACGGAGACGAAGAAGATTCATGAGACGGCAGCCCATGATGCCATGGCAGCCCAGCCTTGACTCCGTATCATCACTACTATTACCAGCAACACTGGCTAATATTCACAATGACAGCGGCTGCACCACCACCGCCACCACCACCACCACCAGCAACAACAGCAGCCACAGCAACAGCAACGGCAACAGCAACAGAAGCAGCATCAGCAGCAACTCCAACCGCAACAGCAACAACAACAACAGCTGCAACAACACCGTCACCACTAGCCGCCGCAGCAGCAGCAGTAGCAGCAGCAGCACAGTAGCGCCAACCACCATCACCACGCATCATCACTATCTGAATCGTTCTGCAGTAATCGCCACAGCCAACCAGCACTGAAGCCATGTCAATCCTTACTTGCAACATCGCTATCACCATCTACGCCAGCATCGCCTTGCGAGGTACCACCAGTCTTTCCGGGTGCTGGCATCCATGGCCAGCAGGTGCCAAGGGTCCGGACTAGTGTTGGTGGCGGTGGCAGAAGCGGAAGTGCTGTAGTGGTAGTCGTCGTCGTAGTAATAGTAGTAGCGGTAGTAGGACGAGGTTGCTACCTCGACGACGATTACGAAGACAATGACGACACTGTCAGTAACATTCATCCTCCTCCGCCTCCTCCGGCTCCTGCCCCTAATCCTGCTACTAACTACGACTTACCACGACTCGTGCGGACGAGTCATGATGAGTTCATATCGTGCATAATCGGATAAGCTACTGATTGTCATACTTTTGTAGGCTGTAGACTTTACAGCGAACCGCATGCATGGCGTCCAAGCAGATGCTCCAAAAAACACGCGGTTAAGGCACAGGGCTGCGCTCGAACGCTCAGAACCCTAAGTCCAGAATTCTGGACCTTGAGTTTGCACCCTTCCTTCTTTCGTTTCTCAATCAGAAAAAACTCAGAGCTCCGGGTTTTGATGAGTAGGATAAGTTGTGTTTCATTTCGAAGGCGCCTTTGCGCCGATGTCGTCGCCCTGGGGTGTGGCCTCGAGGTGCGGCTTCTCCGGCGAGGATTTCCATTGTTTAGAAGCATCGTGCCATGCCCCGAACTTCCCAAACTCTGCAAACAACGAATCCGTTGGCGTCCTGTGGCTTCGTTGCCATCTTTGCGCATGACCTACACTGTAGACTTATCCATACCCCAGTCGCCCGACTCCCAGTGGAAGCCTTGCTAGTTGTGTTTAGGGTTTAGGGTTCAGGGACGAGACTTGCCAGTATAATATTATACGAACGAGTAGACATTGCTGTGTCTGCGATTACAGCATTGTTCTGTCGCGAAATACGAGTACTGGACAAGCCCAACGCACTGTGCGTGGTGGGCTGTAGCTGCTTGTGCCACCTCATTGCTCCTGCCGTTCTTGCGATTGTGTAATTCTGCTAGTACTACTCTTGCGAGGATGATGATTATTCTCGCAATGTTAATCACGACTGCTAGGCGTTACCTTGCTCCTGCAATTCTGTGCAGTTTTCTCTCAGCAGTTCTGCGGTTATTGTGGAAGCGCTGTCCCTAGGACAACTAGTTTGGGTCTCTTGTTGTTAGTGCCAGTGGTCCTGCTGCATAACGGCTAGTCATGATTGCTGCTTAAATCTCAGGAATGATGCTTAACCTCTTATCTCGATTCAGCAAGCAAAATGCCGCGGAGAATATCCAGCATGGCCTGGTGATCTCAAGTGTTGCTGTCACGAGTTCAATTCTGGTAGGTTTTAATTGCTGACAGTCTGCCATGCTGTTTGCAGTCAGCGCTATCATGATTAGGGGTGCCTGTGCTGTTGTGATGTTGATGTAGATCAGTCATGGCTCTTTATGCATGAACGAAGTGTCCCAGCATGCATCTGCAGCTTCTTCATTATCATTTCTTACTCCTCATCCCAGCGCCGATCAAACCTGAAGTCCTCAATAGGAAGGCCAGACCCAAACCCGGAGCGGTAAACCTTCAATGGTGTCTGCGTGGAAGGCTGCAGAGATCACCTGCAACGGTGTCAGCAACTTTCCAGCACCCGGAGGGCGATGGAGTACGGGTTTGAAAAGTTTCAGCTTTGGAGTTTAGGATCTGGGTTCTGCGGCAGGGCCCCCATTTAGGACTGAAGGCTTTCTCAGCTTCGATTGGAACCTGTGGCAGCTAAGCTCCTGCCCCCAAATCCCTCAAACTCCCACGCCCTAATCCCTAAACCCCGTCTTTTCGTAGACCCTGATCTCTGAATTCAGAGCTCCCCAGAAAGACGAGACCTTCCACAGTTCCGGGCTGCTGCTGTCGACGCAAGGGTTTCGGGATTTAGAGTTTAGGGCTTAGGGTGAAGTTCATATCAACAGAAGATGTGGAAGCTGAAGCATCTACTTGCGGGCTCTATGCTTCAAGGTGGGCTTTCACGGGATCCCAGTGCTGCCCCTGAAGCCCGAAGTTCTAGGTGCTAGTCAAGCCGAAGTTCTAGGTGCTAGTCGCGCAGAGAGTCTCAGAACCCTCGGAAAGAGGGGGGTTCAAACATATTTTCGTATGTGAAGAAGTTAGGTTTAGGGTTTTTAAACATGTAAAGGTCTGAAGACTCCTGAATATTTCACCCTTACAGTCCGCTTCCACATACATCATAGTCCCGCACAGCCCTAGTAGGTTGCCCCAAAAGTACCTTGGTCTCCTTTTGTTTTGTAGCCCCTTGAGTGTAATTGCATACAGGAACAAGGGTACCCTTTGTATTCTTCAGACAATGGGGAACCAAGTTCCTTTGCGAGCGAAGGTGCTGCAGACCTGGCGGGCGAGATCCACCGACAGAACCTGCAAGCACTTGCAGAGGGCCTCGCAAAACGATTCAACGACTCGTAGGGTTTGCTGTTTTGGGACATGGGTTTCAGGACATAGAGGTGTAGGGTTCAGTGCTAGGACTTTAGTAGCTTGGTTGCATTATGACCACGCCTAACATGCCACAATCAGCCACACAGGCGCAGAGATATGAAATTGTCTTTACGCTCATATGTACACCACCATACATTTGTACATGCGAGTGGAAAGACTGGAGGAGAGGACATCAGAAAAGCGGAATCCCACAGCCCCAACTCCAGACTCTTGACTCCTCGGTTCCTGCTTGTCAGAGAACGGGAGAATCCAGAGTAGGGACCTGGACCACAACTTCTACTGAGACATGTCCGCTTTGGAATCTTCCCAGGTCCTTTAACACCCTGATAGGGCTGAACCCTAATATAAACCCTAAACCCCTGAACCCCTTAACCCCAAAACCCTAAACACAGACTTTACCGATGCCAAGCCCACTGACGGGGTATTGGGCTCTCTGGAAAGCTCTGAAGCCAGAGACTCCAAAATCCCTCAACTAAGGAATATTTTCCCTCAACCATATCAGGGATCCTACTATAACTTGAGATATATTCCTTAATTAAGGAATATTCCTTGCCTTAAATCATATTAGGGATCCTACTATAACTTGAGATATATTCCTAATTTAAAGCTCTCTGGAAAGCTCCGAAGCCAGCAGCCCTCTTCGCAGGCGCACGGCGCCGCCCGTTGCCATTGCCAGGCAGGGCCATCTCTGTTTCAGATTACTTGGAGGATCATGGGACTTAGTAAGTAAGGTTGTAAGTACCTTAGTTGGGGTTATAAGTATAGTTACCCTAATTATAACGCTAGTTACTAAGTCCCATGATCCTTTAGGTAGGGTTTTGGGTCTTGGGGTTTTGGTTGGGGGGCTCCTTTAAAGGGTTCTGCCAGGGCTCCTTTAAAGGACTCTATAAGGGTTTGGGGTTTAGGGTTTTGGGGGGCTCCTTTACAGGTTACTATAAGGGTTCCTTTAAAGGACTCTACAAGGGTTTAGGGGTTTAGGTTTTGGGGTTCAAGGAGGAGTCAGGGACTTAGCAATGCACTGAATGCGTAAAGTGACCCGAAGCCTTAACTTTCTCTTGGCGAGACGGTCACCCTCCCAAAACGTTAGGAGTCGGATCTAGGTTCAGGGTTGAGAGTTCAATGCATAGGCGTATACTTTAGGCTTTAGGAAGGCCATCTGCTTGCCGTGAGCATGCATCTGTTCTTAATGTGCGGTTTAGTCTCTGCCTCCACGCTGCAAGGTCCCCTGCGGAATCTTTCACGATGACGGGCGTATTGCCATGATCCTGGAGGACAGGCATAAGCCGTAAGCATCCTTAAACCCTAAGCCTTATATACCCTAAACCATATACCCTAAAAACCTTAAGCCCTAAACACTGAACCTTAAAACCTAAACCTTAAACCCTAAGCCTTCAACTGAATACGATCAACCCAAACCTTAGCCTGCCCCAAATATTTCGACCCCGAAGCCCTAAACCGCCCTCAGCGGTAAACCGCCGCAAACTTTAAACTGCCCGAATCTGAAACGATGGGTTCAGGGTTCAGGGTTTGGGGTTTAGAAACTCCGGGTTTAGAAACTCCCTGAACCTGGACTTCCAACCCCTTCGGCCAGGGTTTGGATCGGGAGCTTTAAGGTTTTGTATAGCTTGGGTTTAGGGTTTAAGGCGTAGGGCCTACAGGGTTTGATTTCGAGCTTTAGGCTTGCGGTTTATACAGTAGGGTTTCAGGTTTCAGGGTGACAGGATTGTGCCTCAAAGCCCGCGCGTCTGGGAGGGGCACCTTATACTCGGCGCTCTTCTGAAAAGAACCCCACTACTCGGGGTCTACAACAACCTAAACTCTCTCATAACATTTATACATGCGTCTCAAACGCAAAAATGGTCCGTCGAGGGTACGTTCGCCGGATTCAGACGGGAATAGCTGCGTTGAGTTGGTCTCATTTTGCTGTGTATAGAGTTTCAATGGAGAGATTTGTTTCGTCACTCCCGGTGCTTGTACAAAGCACTTTTCATTTCTTATCGGCTTAATCACCCCGGTTCAGCCATGTTTGGTCATATTCAGTGTCCAATTAAGCTTGTTCGCGCATACCTGTGTCTCTTTGGTGTCTAAATGCTCTGTCCTCTCTTCCTCGGTCCGCGCGGCGGATTCTGTGAGACTAACCCCAATGAATTCGTCTCATTTTGCCGTACAGGTTTGTCCAAGAGATGGCTTCTAAAATTCTTCCTAGCAGCGTTGTCAAGCAATTCAAGCAATCCTCAATTAGGTCAAAAATCAATAGTGCACCATACCCCAAACCATACTCACATGCCTACGGCCCCTCTATTGCAATCCGAAGGATGTCCTGGCTCGTCTTGTATTGCATGTCTAGGCGTGCCCAATGCCTGCAATTTGTCGAACTATTCTTCAAATAACGATATTTTCCCCTCTATAAGGGTTTCGGGTTAGGGGACCGAGACTCGAAACCCTAAACCCTCCAGGGTTTTAGGGATGGCTCCTGAATTGCCGGGTCTTCTTGGGCTGTATGGTGACAGATTTGGCCGCTCAGGGTTCGAAACGCTTTGCACTAGGACGCCCAGTACCGTAAATCCGAAACACTGAAGCCCTAAGCATCCTGAGCCCGGAATACTACGGAAATCTCAGATACCAGATACCATGAATCCTCAACCCTAAATCCTATGCAAGCTGGTTAGATGTTCCGTTGCGTTGCCTTTACAGGAGCCTGAAAGCAGCCACCCCTTCACGCCCTGGTGCTCTAATTTTGTAGGGTTTTGGGTTTAGGGTCATCATACATCCCGCAGCCCTCAAACCCTAAGCCATAGATCCTGTATCTCTAAGCCATTCCTATACCCCGAGAACACCAGCACCCTAAGCCTAAGTTGAATGAGAGGGCGGGGAACCTCGCAGATCGCTGTAAACCACCGCAAGGCCATATACAGAAAAATTCAGCATCCATAACTAATGTTGCGATGAGCATGAATACTATTGCCACTCAGTATTCGGACAGCTGTTCCCATCGGCTCGTGACAGAATGTGCTGCGTTTTTGACCAGGATGCCATGACCATCCGCAAGGCGGTGGTGCAATGCCAGGACAGCCCAGCACACACAAGATTTCGATACCGGACAGAGCATGCAAAGGTCTGAAACTCTACTTCCCTAAACCTAAACCGTGATCTTAAGGGTAGGCGGCCTCTCATCGGATCTTTCTGTTCAGCCCTCCTTTCCCGGCAGACTCCGCCGGGGAGACCTTGAACTAGAAACCCTACTTAAAGGATCGTGCGACTTAGTAACTAGGGTTATAGCTAGGGAAAGTATACTTATAACCCCAATTAGGGCACTTATAACCTTACTTACTAAGTTCCTGATCCTTTAAGTAGGAACGCTGAACCTGATATCGTTGTGTGGAATACGAAGTAAACGCCAAAAGGCTCAAGCACGCTTCGAGGGCTGGCAATTCGGGTGCAGGGCTCAGGGCTTCTATCAGAACTAATTATACATATATGTATGTATGTATGTATGTAGGTATGTACGCATGTATGCATGTATGTATTGTGTCTGTATGTTTGTGTGTATATACATGTGCATGTGTGTGTATATGTTTATGTCTTTATTCATCTGTTTATCAAATTTGTGTTTATTTATCTTTTTATTTCATTTTTTACTTTTGTATTCAAATAGTTAGTTATGTACACATACATACATGTACAAATACATACTAATATATGTATATATGTATGTAGGTGTGTACTATGCATAAACACAAATACATATACACATGCCAATATACATACACGCACATATTACATATGTACATGTACACATACTACATCGCGATGTATGCCCATGTAGGACGCAACGCAATCTGGGGATCGATGAATTTAATCGTTGCACCATGTGAACCTGGGCCCTTCAAATCAACGATCCTCAGTTCTGCATGGAAGACTCCAGTCTTAATCCTATACCCCTTCCCCTTGCAGTTTCAGTCAGCTCATCAACAAAGCCTATGGCCCTAATATACCTACATCTGTCGGTTGTGGCAGCTTTTGCTGGTTACCTCAGATACACGGTACACGATTTGCTCACAAAGACCCAAGAGTGCTTCGAGAATGCAGAGAAGGCACTTGATTTCAAACCCTTTAACATCCTGATGAATCCCTAGTCTTATCAGTTCGCATATAGAAGTTGAGCTCTTTTCTCTGAAACATATACCCCGAAACTAAGGCTACTCAGCCTAGCCCTCTAAAGTGCCACAGCAGTGCCACCGCCGAAGTCGCTTTTGGTCTCCTTGTCACTCCTGCTGGAGTCCACTTAGCAGTGTTTCTGGGTGCTATTCAAAGTCGTTCATTCGATCGCTTGAAGCTGTAAACCAAGCAAGCCTTCTTACATGACAGCTACGAATTAGGATTTTCTGTAGGGTGTAGACTGCATTTCTTGCTGGCGATGTAATGACGGTGTATGGGGAGAGTTCTCGAAGATACTTCTGCTTGGCGAACCAAATCTCCAACGCGCCAGGATCTGCACAAGTCCGGTAAGCTGCAGGACTGCATTTCCAGGTTGGTGTTCGGGGCACAGTATTCCCGTATCCCACTTTAAACTCTAACCTATACTCTCCATTGTAGTACCTTTTTGGGGTTACCTTAATTATAGGATCCTTAATATATAATTGGTTAAACCAAAAAAGGAACTACAATGGAGACTATAGGTAGCCCCTAAACCCCTAAACCCCTAAGCCCTGAAGCCGGTACCATTACCCGCGCAATGAAGCTGTACCCCGATCCAGGCACTCCTTTTAAGTTCTTATGGAAGCTGTTGTGGGAGATCCTGGTACTCGTAGGATTACATCGAACCCCAAATCCAAAAAGCTCTAAACACTGCCTTTTGTTTCCGAAAGTGTCTTATTGCGGCGCCCCATCCTTATTTGCAGGGACATGTTGAGCAGATTGCTGATTTGAAGTATTTTGTGGAGTGAGTCGGCATCTTCAGATGCTCCTAC